GGCCAGTTAGTTATACGTCAGCCTGTACTCCTAAATGTGGCCAATTATATATCAACGGTCATCTGTCAATCAAATGTTTGTGGTCATAGCATCTTGATTCATGTCGCAGCTAATATACGCAATGGTTGAAATCAGAATCCTTTCCTTTCCCATTGAGTTGCGTCCCAGTGTTCACAGGGATGGACGTCTGTGTCTTCGGCAGGCGTAGAGCTAACAGAACTGGCAGCGTTGCGAGGCAAGGGCTCAAACATGTACGGCTGGAAGCCTTCTACACCAAACAAAGCTTCTGCCGCCCTGGCGTCCTCTTCCACAACAACTTTGTCCCCGCTTTCCTCCTCTAAATAAAAAATGGATGACGGAGGAGACTCATCCATGACCTCCAACACAAAACTCTCCTCCTCTTGCATGTTTCTGCTGTCCATAGCGTTCCTTGACAGCGTCGTTGCTACGTCACCAATTTAGTGCTACTTGGTCCCAATGGAATTTCCCATTAGGAACCTACTAGCATTAGGTTGCAAACCTTCTGCCACAACAATCATGCCCCCTTGATAAACGACCAATCACATTCACTTTATTCACTTGTGTAAAGTCGGGCATTTCCAACCGTTGCATTTCCGAATTCTCGGAAATGCAACAGATTCTTAAATGTCTAGCTAACATTCCTTGTAGTCCAGCCAATTATTCTCAATATGTATGCAAATGTGTGCAAAACATACAGAAATTATGTAAGTTTTAGAGAAGCAAGAATAGCCTCAATAACTATACACCACTAGAGCTTTATTTTACACTAAACTAATATTGTTTCACAGGATCTCTTTCCAGATTGCACCATTCATGGTAATCGGCTCTGCTTCATCACACAACAGAAACTCCCTCAGCTCTCAGTAAACTATGTGACATACAACGCTGTAGCCCCGATGACCAGGTGCTACCCCCTCCTCCCAAAGCTGGGCTTTTCTTCTCTTTAGAGAGAGGCTCCAAACTTTTCTCCCAGCCTCTTCAAAGAGCAACAACAGGTCCTTGGCCTCTTGGGACCACAGAGGGGGTAGAGCATGGTGGGAGAGGGGGGTATACGTCACACAGCATGCACAGGAGGCCAGTCGGTGGGAAAGCAAAATGCAATGCAGCGGGACTGGAGGGAGAGGAGTCTGAATTTGAAAGGTGCTTTCAGTTTCCAGACAAGAGCTTTGTGAAAATGACCTGCAGAGAAAAAGCAAAACACCAACCTGCCATGTGTTTAAAAATCTTTAGGAGTATTTCCAAAAAGTCTTTCAACTTAAAAAAAAAAAAAAGCTTTGAAAAATAAAAATCAAAGACAATGCAACCAACTGTGAAACAGGAAAAGGGGGGGCAGGAGCGTCAATGCTATTCGCTTTTGAATCGCATTCTGTTGTCAAATGTACCATTGCTCTTTGCCTGCATGGCACAAAAACTTCTGTTGGAGAGGGAAATCTAAGCTTTTGGAGCTCAGAAGACTCAATGCGGAGGGATCTTTTAAACTACACACAGGCTGAAGCTTCACAGACAGGAGGAGCCATCAGTGTCACTACAAACACGATCACTTCTCCTAATGCAGCCTCATGTCATCAACCACAAGGAACACAGGGAGCATGATAGACGCAGCAAACAGATTGAGGTTAGGAAGGCAGACAGGGGAAAAGGGCAGAACCAGGGGTAGAGGGGTAAAAAAAAAGGGAGTCATCTAACATTAAGTGCCAAAAGAAAGGAATTTTATTTTTATTGATTTGATTTAAATATCAATTATTGGTAGATATATGATTTTGAGCATGTTCTTTAAGAAAAAAATGTTGCATGTTCAATTCAGGCAATACTTTTTATTACTTATCACCTCCAACTCTGACAAGTTTCCTTCAAACTGAAATAAAAAAGTTTCTCCGCAGCATGATGCCGCCACCACTATGTCACACAGTGGCCACAAAATGTGTGGAGTGGCATCTCACTGCGCTGGCATCCCTTTAAAGCATTGATTTTTTCTTTTAAGGAATATTGTGAAGATCGGATCAAAAGAATTTTAAGCTCGGACACCCCACGGATGACACCCGACCCGCATTCTCCTGAACCCTGGTGCAACTGGGAGGGTGGCTTAAAGAACAGAGGCTATAAATAGCTATCTCCCCAGGTATTCTGTGCAACTCGGGACAACTTTTAAAGAGCGGAGAGAGGACTTGCATTCTCGCGGAACGCTCTGAAGTCTCGCTTATTGAGCATAAATTGAAAAACGCCTTGATGACTCAGACATCATCACTTGAAAATAAAGTACTTTAACAAATAAAACTGAAAAAATTTGCAAATGGTTGAAAATTATCAAGAAAAAAAACAACAGGAAATCAAAACCTTTTAATGCTTAATGATAAGGAAAATATCAGGCTGTTTCCAATCTCAGGCTGATCTATTTGTGCAAGTTTGACTTCAGACAATAATCTAATCAAGAAAAACGGATGCTCCGAATTATACAGTGCATAGTGGGGAAATGCAGGAACCAGCAACTTCTCACAATCTCTAAGAGGCCAAAAACTCGTAGAAGAAGTAAAATAAAGCAACATTTTATTCATAATCTCTATCAGTATGCGAGGTTGGATGATCCAGATGGTTATTAGATGAGAAACATCTCCAAATAGACACAATGGGAATTAACAGGAGGAAAACATCTACATGTTTGAATATAACTCAACTTAAAATCTGTAGATTGCCTCAAAACATATAAACATTGTGATTAAATAGTGTGACTAATCTGAAAAAAGAAACCCGTACGTTTCTTCAACATATTTCTAAAACATAAGGCTAAGCTTCAGTGTTTTGACCATCCCAGCTTCCATTATCTTAATCCCAAGTGTTCACGCCACCACCTTCAAAACTTCCACAACAATCTACAGTTTGACCTCATGGATAACCACAGATATGAAGCTGAAACATCTTAAACAACAAAACAAAACAATTGACTAGAAGACAGGAGATGCACCAATCAAAGCTTTCCTTCTAGATGTTGAACTCTGACGCGGTTATGGTAGATTTAGGTAATTTTTTTACACAGAAGAGAGAAAAAGGCGCTGGAGGTTCATTTAAAGATGTAGCAAGGAATAGAAAATGCTGAAATTACAGGATTAACTCAACTTTATTTGATTTTGGTTTATTAAAAATTGCATCTGATAATAGAAAGGAAATTGAGGGATTTCTAACGTGTTTATTGAATAAACAAATGGACATAAAATATAAAATATTTAGCATTTTATGTGTCACTGAAGGCAAAGAGAGCATTTCTGCTTTAGACTTGCAAGATAATATTTAATAAAATTTGTTGTCCAATACAGCCGCAGTTTTTAAGGTTAAACATTCTTCACCAGCAAACCATCTCAGAATTTTATTTTATCCAAACAAATCCTAGTTTTTTTCACACACCTTTTATTAATCATCCCCATTCTACGCCATATAAAAACATGAAATTAAGAAGAGCTGCAAGCACAAGATGACACGTCTAAACATAAAGACAACAAGAGCCTTTAGAAGGGTCATTTAAAGTGTTTACCACATCAAATAGCTAGTGCTTTGGCATATTCAAAATGAAAATATCCTGGAATTTGGTTTGTTTTTGACAAACTCCTCCAAACGTCTGGATTGTGGGTGGATAAATTGATTTTATGTTGTTTTTTTACCCCAATAGGCCTCAGTTCCTAAAACACGCCTGCCTTTGAGAAATGCATCTCAAACCAAAGAGGCTTAAAAGCTCCTCTGAAGCGATTCCAAAAGGATCTCCCCTACTTGACAACAGCGGCACAGTGTTTACCACACTGCCAATATGCAAAACAAGCATGACCTCCAACATTTCTCCTCAGCCTTTGCAATCCACGCTTGTCACCGGACTGTCACACAGCAATGCTTTCAACTCAGTCTGGGTCTATTGTTAACTAAATTACAAGAGAGAGAAAAACTCAGGTCAGTAAAAGAGGCTGACACCATCAATGTTCCGTGCACGAGTAAATGAGAGTTCAAGCAAGCGGCGTGATCATTCAGTGTCACTTAAAACTGCATCCCAAGATTTAAACATCTCATAAAAAGATTACAGCCACAACTAAGAACCAATCCATCATAACTGACGGGCCAATCAAGGACAGCATCAATTAAAAAAGCTGCCAAGAAGTCGACCTTAGCTGGCGATGCAGAGATCCACATCTCAGGTAGGAGGATCTACTTTCAGTGCATCTATTGGTAATGTAATTCACAATTATACACATCAGATGTGAGGCGGAAGCCGTGCAGCAGCTTTTTAGAAAGGTCAAATAAAAGCAAATGTGTAGAAGACTCCGCTCTGGTCAAATGAGACCAAAATCTGACATTTTATTCCTGCACACACAGGCATGTTGTGAGGTAGAAAGCAAGTATCTGAACATGTTATCCCCAAAAAAGATGGTTCAAGTACATGGAAAGAACTCTCTTTTAATACAAAGATGGATGGAAGAAGCTAAATTTATTAGGAAAACCTGTTAGAAGCTGCAGATAATCAAAAAAAAGGTCCACCTTTGAATCAGGGTAGAAACTTTAAACATTGAAGCCATTATTTTAGATCAGTTGGAAACAATTTGTTCTTCACAACTGATGATCACAGATCTGACTGAGCTTGAGGTGTTTTAAAAAACAAATTAACACAAAAATATGGTTGAAAGATACCTGCAGGTATAGTTTCTATAAAAGTAGTGTTGAAAATAGGCATCATATAAAAGCAAGATTTATTCACTCCTGTGTTTTCTGGTCTATATTATAAAAAATGCCAATAAAAAGAATGAGTCAGTGACAATAACAAGCAGAGAAGAGGTGTGAATACTGTGTAAATGAGCGTAAACGTTGCCTCGTGACGAAACAGTTTAAAAACAGCCAGAAAATAAAAAAAAAATCTAAAATGTCAAAGAAGAATAAAAACAACTTTGCTCCACCAGGAAAAAAAGCGCTCAGTGAATAGGTGACGGTAAATGGGCGGTGAAACTCACCCGCGCAGTAAGCCCGTAGTTACGGTGACAGTCCTGCTGCTCGAGGCGAGCGCTCGCGCTGTAGTACTTCTGCTTCACGAGCCAGTCGTCGACCCCCCTTTTAGCCAAACAGGCATTCACAACAAAGCTGTCCCCTGAAACACATAACAAAATACGGTTTATTGACAAATACGCACGCTTTGTTTAAAAATAAAAAGACACTCTTCTTAAAAGCTTCCTAAAATCAAAGAGCTGAACTCTTTTTACAAACTGTCAAGAAAATAGTTAAAGTTCACCATGTAGGGGGGCAGAAATAAAGACTGCTTACCTTCAGGGCTCTCCCTCGGTTTACAAATAGCGGCTTAAGAGAAAGAAATTTTGGAGACAGTGGATGTGTTACTAGAAAGTATCAAAGCGCGGCTGGAGCAATTACTACTGATTTTTCCAATTGGGAATAAGAAGTCTTACCATGCTTGGAGTGCAGTTTACCCATTTCTATACATCGAGGTGGAGATAAAAAGCATCAAATGAATATAATCCAGAGAAAGTGATATCCAGACAGCGGAGCGTCCGTGGAAGCCGTGCCCTCACTACATGGAGCGCTGGACCGTGTGACCGAGCGCTGAACTAGCCCCTCCAGATCCGGAGCGCTGCTGTCAATAGACACCATGGGCCGAACAACTTCCTGTTGGCTTTTCAAAATAAAATCTGTAAACATTATGGTAACGTGAGGCATTTATGCCAAGCATCAACGCGCTGTTGTTTTCTAATCATATTGATCTTAGCTGATTAAATTTTATAATATACTTCAAACTAACTCGCTAAATAATAATAAAAAAACGGTTCTGTCAAAATAAAACGAATCTAAAGCGTCTTGATTCCGGATTCAGTTCCGTTTGTTACTAAAACTTTGTGCCGTTGTTTACTCCTTCAGGCTTTGTTGAAGCGCTCTTAAGTTGTCATTTTAAAGTGAGGGTGCAGCCTACACATCAGGAAAGTGGTGAATGGAAATGCGTGTAAAACCCGCTGATTAGTGTCAGTTCACTCAAAACTCGGGTCATCATGCTATAGGCAGGGGTCACAGTATGGGCCCCCGGTCAGGACGTGAGGTCTGTCACGTTTTGTCTGGACAGAACTGATTAACAGCTGCAGAAAGAGAAAAATGAAGATGCATAAAAGGAAGCTACCCAGAAGAATATGGAGAATTTCTCAATATGTTAAACTTTAATGGCATATTATAGAATACAATCAAAAGAACAAGCAGGGCTGAGTTAGAAGCAAACATTGCAACAGAATCAGTATATTATTGTCTTCAACACTGGAAGAAAAACAGCTTGTGGAAATATACTGTTTGGTTTTACTTTATTAAAAAAATAAATAAATAAAAACAGACAATTATTCTTAAATAATATTATATTACAACAGTTTTTAGAAAAGCAAGGAGTTTTAATAGGCATGAGAAAAAGGGATGACATAAATGAATAATAAGTAACCTAAGGGAACATTAAAAACCTTTAAAAAACAAGTTGTATATTGCTTCTCTATCATTAAAAGCAATTCTGTTCAGTGACTGTTTGTACTTCTAGAATTAGTACAAATATTGATTTATTTAACCTCCGTCTTAAAGCGTTTACAAATAATAACTCAGGATGCATGAAAAATACACTGGTAAAATGTTTACCAATATAAACTTGTTAGACATTGTTGGATAGCTTAGGTTCTCCACGATTCAACCACCTATTTTATGGACACAGCGAGCACCAAAGCACAATTAACACAGATATAGCAGCATGTCGAAATGCAACATGACAAAAGCAGCCACAACAAGCAAGCATGTCTTTATAACTGCTGTTCAAAAAGACTTAAAGACAATAAAAAAAAAACTTTGAGTCATGTTTGAACTGATGCAGCTTGCTAGTTTTACTTATGTAACACACCTGAAAAAAAACGGGTAAAGACTTGATCTATTTTTGGTGCACTAACATGTAGTTTAATATGAGATCTAATAAGTAATTCTTAATGTAATTGTAATCCGCCATAACATTTCCAAGCTCCTGCAGGATTACACAGAGGCGATACTTGACATCACTTTTTATGAATAGAATCAACTGGTAGATCAGGAATTCCCTGAGGACTCCTCGCCGGTTAAGATCCAGCAGCTGCTGCAAGACTTGACTGAGCCAGAAGTTTTAGTGGGCAGACTGACACCTGGACAGGAGGTGCAGTGGTTTGAGAAACAAACTCCTGAGGTACAAACTGTAACATCTGGTACTTTTACAGTTTTGTTTTCTTAAATAAGAGTTCCTGTAAGAATTTGTTCAGTTTGTTCTATGCACTAAATGTTAATACTAATGGTTATGCACTAAAACATTTAGCATTGTGCTGAATCTGTGGAAAAACCTCTCAGGATTCTTATGAGTTTGTTAAAACACTGATCATTTTGCACTTTTTGGACTGTTTTTGAGAGATGGTAGCTAGTTGTATTGACTTTGGACTGCTACTGTTCAACGTGGTTAGAATGTTTTGTAAAATAATGGTCTATATGGAGGACTGAAACTCGCCAATAAAATGCACTTAAAATGCACCATACCTCACAAATTTTTTACAATAAAACTTTAGGTAGAGTTCTTAATTGGTGCCTTTTAAGTGCATTTATTTATTGAGATTTATATAAAACAATATTTCTGTTATTTGTCAAAAAATGTATTTCTGCTTTGGTCCTTCAATAAATGTTAACACTTCTGCTTGTCTCGAACAAATGTTTTCTTTTTACACTTGATTTAAGGCTTGTCTCATATTTGATACAGAAAGAAAAATGTATACTCTGAAATGGAAGCGTATTGGTGTAATTATTTTTAGAAAACTGGTAAACTTGGCATTGTTAGTGGAGAAAGTGAGCAATATTTGGAAATGTTAGTTTACTTAAATTGCAATTTGAACTTCAGTAGCTGCCTTAAACTCTTGAGTTAAATTAACTCAAAAAGGGAATTGGTATGAATACAGTTAGTCAGTTTAACTTTAAAATGAGAGTTGAAAGTATATATAATTGTTTGCTACTTCAACAAAATAAAACAAGTTTTTTTTAATAAATAACTTAACTTTGCAAGGCCTTTAAACTTGGAATATGAAGTTCATACAACTAGTAGTCATTAGTTAGACAAGTGGTATAACTTAATTATTTGAGTTCAAATAGAATATGATTGTAATTTTACTTCACAAGAGTACCGTACTCAATCTATAAAGAATGAATAATGTTCTATAGTTAGTCATTTCAACTTATGGTATCATATTTAATCAATGAATTATCAGCAATTGAGCTACTTTTCTAGCTTGCCATCCTAAGTTGGAAAAAAACATTATTTCAAGTTGTGTTAACTTGTGCTTTTAAGGCAGCTGCTTAACTCAAGTTTTTAAGTTTAACCACCCTAATTATTTTTACAGTGGACGTGGAGCTCTGCTGTACATGTACTGCCACACCCTTCATCAGCGAAAGCAATGCATAAAGAAAAACAAGGACACATTCATAAAGTGTATTCAGGAAGGCGTTCGATATTTGATGCGGATGCTACAAGTAAGAAACACAGTGAAGCTCAGCGATGGGGTGGTTCTTCATGAAGGCGCTACAGCAGGCATTTTATCTGAAGGCATTTTTTCTGACATTCACCTTCTGACAATGATTCACATTGGAGAGATGTGTTTCTGGGCTGTGAAGTATGAGGACTGCAGCGGTGACTCCACAGAGCACAGATTAGATGGCCTTCAGCTTCGGGACTCGGTACTCAGATACTGAACAAATACGTGCATGCCTGCGAGGGCCCTTTGCAGTGGCAGGGCTGGAATACGGTAGCCTGACGTAGTCCTACTCAATTCTAGTCAGAATATGAGTCTGATGCTGCTCCATAGAGCTGTGATTATGGGGCATGTTTCGAACGAACCAGGAAAAAAAATGCCTCTGCACTCAATTGGATAGACCTACAACCAATAAGAGCAACGGAGTGCGTGACGTATGTTAAGCGAGGCATAGTTGTTGTCCAAAAAAATCAAAGCGTGCAGTTGCACGCCTAGAATAAGAAGATGAGACTTGATCGCGTTTCTCTGTTCCTCTTTTAAAATTAATTTGCTGTCGATATCTTCTAGAACAGACCTAATAGCAGAATCTACTCACCTCAACTCTCCAGCGGCAGCCATTATTGTTGTCACCCAAGCGCGCATTGGTCACGTGGTTGATTACGTTACTGTTTGTCATCTGTCCATCATCATATAAAGCCCGCCCTGACAATTTGATTGGATCGCCTGACAGTGGGCGATAATACTCGCGCTACTATGGAGCAGAGCCAGACCGAACTTCCCCGACCTCAAACTTTGTGGGCGGGACTAAGTTCGGAATGGCACCCAGGCTAGGAATACGGAAAATGCCAAGGAAATCCTTAGTATTTTACAGTGAAATAAACTGCTCCTATGTAAAAGTTACCATCAGGCACAGATCAGTGTTCAGTTGTGTCAAACCTAATAAATATGGAGTTCCATGAAAAAAAAAAAAAAAGAAAAAGGAGGAAATAAAATACCCGGCCGGGGTTAAAATAAACAGTTTCTAAGGGCCCAGTTGGCGCGCGGGTGGAGCTCATTCATAGTTCAGGTCATATATCCAGTTTGCGTTACTCACGACCAGTGGCGTTCATCGCCTAAACTCCACAGGCTGTCAACGTCCAACGACAATCATCCTACTCGTTCCGATCCACGAGTTCACCACCGAACATCTCTCGTACTCCGGTATCCTCAACACTGCTAGCGAAAATGGCAGAAAGTCAGTTAACTGCCGGCTAGCGTGTCCAAACCAGCAACAGCAGTAGTTCTCTTCTCCTCGCGATCAACAACGTAGGTAACCGGGTTGGCCCAGATATGTCAGTATCCGCTGGCCCTTATAAAACTGTCTGTCAACTCGTATCAGCTAACAGAACACGAAAGGAATAAAAGTCTGTTGTCAAACAGAGCCACCAGGAAAAAAAACGGCCCTTTCCTTTTCTTCTCCCTCATGGCAACCCCTGCTCCCAATAGAAAACCAGGGATAGAAACGAACACACAGTATCAAAAAAAAAATGTATATTACAATATGAAACAAGTACAATGTTAAAAGCACATTAAGTCTCAGAAGTAAAACATATAATACTCTCAAAACCTTTGAATAGATTAGCTTTTTAAATGTCAGGTGGATTACATTAGGGTGACCATATTTTCATTTGGGCAAACCAGGACACCTTGGAGCGTGGGGGGGTGGGGGGATCTCTGTTCCCACGCATAGAGATGTCTGTGGCATGCACTCACTTAACATAGGCCTACGTAATCCTACAACAACATGATATTTACAGTTGGTTTATTAAAAATTATTTTCAGTAAAAGTCAACAGCAATGAATACATAACAAATTATAATTTTATTCAAAATGTATTAATTAAAAAATGCTTAAAAATTCCTGTAATGAATGAATAGCACAATGAAAGAAATAATGTCTCATCTAAACATCCCTCACTTAACAAAAAAGTTAACAATAACTCTCAACTCCCAATATACATGATACTCAGCCTCAGCAATGAACGAAATAATGTCTATTCTGTAGGCTATTGGAGAAAAAAAAGTAACAAAT